ATAGTGGCAAACACTCTTTGCATCCCGCACCTCGGCAGCTGTTATGTGACAAGGCCTCAAAAGTCAAGGCTCACGGGAGTCAAGGCCCCTCTTCGACCTTGTTGAGCTCGGCCGAAGCCACCCCGCTAATTAGTCCATGAGCTTCTCAAGAAGCACAGCTTACCCGAACTGCGGTACGCTGATCTTATTACGGGCACTGGTTCCACCGTACAGGATCCGTCTTCTTGGCTTGCCGTGTCTTGCCTTGGTGCCGCCGTGCCATGAGGTGCTTGTCCTAATCGGGCCCAGGGACAAGACCACAGACTCTTTGCCCCCCCACCTCGTCTTCCGCGAGTTAGTGCTGTGTTCCTTTAAAAGGATCGTAGGACCTCGTCACGAACCCCTTGGCGCGGTACGTGTGTGTGTTTCTCGTTTCTAGCCACTTTCGACTTTCTTCAAATCGTTATTGTTCTTCGCCAAAGACAGGCTTATCGTCCATCTAATACGCACAATTAATCAGTAACACCAAGAATTACCTTCGTGATACCACCATTGCTTGCTTAAGCTTTCGTCTCCAGCCAAGGCTAGCCTAGCCAGTCGAGACAACCCTGTTCTCCCCCTGCCGTCCCCTGTAAGAGTCGCATCGCAGCGAAAAGAGAGCTCGAGATGGCATTCTCCGGCAGCAGTGTAAGCATACCTCAACAAAGTGGGTTATCCATTAAATATTCCTCAATTTCAGGCTGTATCCTAACTTGAACATGTAGACCAGACTATAAGTGACTTCGAGCAAACTCAATCACAAACAGAGCAGCAGCACCAGCAGCAACATTCACAACAGACATTCGGCAGCAATGATCTACAAGCGACTTTCGCCTCGTCCCAGGTTCCAGCCGCGAATCCTCCTTTTGAAGTAGACCGCCGGTCTTCGGCCTCAACACAAGGGCAAGGTCCTCATTCATGGCAAAATTCTCCTGCCAGCAATCAGGCAGAAGGATTAGCGTCACCAATAAGCTCCGTCATCTCACCACATAATAACACAAATTCACCGAAACTCCCACCGATTGATCCTCTGGTTTTCGATTCCGCAAGTGAAACGAAACCATCTTTACCAATCGAGGCGATAGAATCTCCAAAGCGACGCAGGGGGCGACCGAGGATTTCCGAGGATGATGGACTAGATGTTGTCGCACCAAAGACAGGTGCAGAAGCACGGCAGAAAGGCAGCACCCGACGAGCCTCAAACACATCAACGAGCGGCGCCATCGGCACAGGTGACAAACGCAGCGGCGCCGAAGCCAAGAAGAACAAGATCCGAGCACGGAATCGGGAGGCAGCTTACAAGTGCAGAAAGAAGAAGCAAAAGGGAGTCGAGGAGCTACAGACCCAGGAGGCGATGGCCGAAAACATCAACAAGAACCTCAACGACGAGGCTGCGTTGCTCCGAGGCGAGATCCTCATGTTGAAGACCATGGTGCTTCAACACGGTAGCTGTGGGTGCTCTTTTATCGAGGAGTACATTTCTGGCGCGGCCCAAAACTTGGTATCATCGAGCATGGCCGGGGGCGCTTCGGCACCGGCGTCTGGCGGAGGAGGGATGCAAATGGATAACCTACCATGTCCAAATGGTACGAATGAAGGGGAATCATACGTCGACTGGAAGATGTTCGACGCGGATACGGAACAAGGAGTCCCCTCGATGGGCGCAGAACACAGCTAAGAGCTTCTCCGGTCTTGACGACATCACCGCCCAGTGCGCGAGGGTATGGTTCCGGATGGAGGAAGTCGCAGTCAGGACGTATCAGGGACAGGTAAAATTACATGGAAAAGGCGTTCGGGACAAGGTAGAAAAAAGGCTGTTTGCTCAGGCGATCACTTGAGGGAGGGATGAGAACAAGATACCCTACGTACGTGAGCTTAGTAGGCCATTACTGGTACATGTATTTGACGCTCGATAAGCTACTGAATTTGGCAGGATTAAATATGTCAATCGTCGTTGTCTGTGAGACAAATAGATGAACGAAATCAGAAACATGATGTCTGTCTACCTGCTGATTTGAAAAGAGAGTTCTTCCTAGCGAGATGGAAACAGCCGTCGTGGAAAGTCCCCGGTAAGCTTTGATCTAGCTGCTGTAATAACGTTTTCTCGTGTCCCGTAGCGCCTTCCTCTTGACTGGCTGATACGATGTATCGCCATCTTGAAGAAGATCATAGTATTCTGAGTTTGTGATGGTTGCTATACCTAGCATTGACCATTCTTGAAGGCTATTGTGAGGCGCTGCCTCCAACTTCACTTCAAATGCCAGTGACAAACTCACCGTACTATGTTGATATACTTTCTGTCTCTTCACGACTCAGGCTCCTCGTCACATGCTATGTGAGAACGCACTATTATTCTTATTCATCCGCTTAATCGTTGATGATATTCATCAGTTCCCGTCGCAATCTCATCTCCCAACGATGCTTAGCCAATTCGTAGGTCATGTTCACGTACACTGGCGTACACTGTCGAAGAAGCTCCAAGTTGTCTCTCATACATATAGAATTGAACATGATGGTCAGCTCTGGAGCTGCTATGACTCGATGGCCTGCCAGAAGTCTGGTATGGTCATCGGAGTCATTTCCGAGTGTCCCTGACGTGAACTTATCGGCCTAAAGCCCGTCGTCTTCTTGGCATTTCCCCATCATCATGGTCTCGCCCGTCTCGGATTTCTCTGCTGAGACCCGTCTGCATCGTGCCGCAGTGCTCTTGACGGAAACCTAGCAGGATTCAAAATCGCCACCAACGTAGTCCTACCTCTCGCTCGACATCGGCCTTAGGCCCAGTGAACGGATTGAACACGTGCAGTAGTCCCTGATCTTTGGACAGGGTGCTTCCCTCCCTTCAGGCTCGATCCAAAAACATTTTGGAGAGAAGCGGGGTTTGAACATGGCAATGAGGTGCTCTAAGCTTTCTGGGGAGTCCGAGGTGTTGTGCCTCGAACTTTAAAGCTCAACTCTGGTCGGGGAATCGGCAGCCAGTCGCACTCACCGGTTCGTCGAGTCGCAGCCGCTGTGCCAAGACCCGCAACTCTTCAAAGGCAGACAAAGTAGGACCGTATGCCAACTTCATCACTGAAGAGGATAAGAGGCACACAATAGGTAGGTAAGCCTTGGGGAACACCAGAACGAGAATTGAGCAGCCTTCTTCCGAAGATCTGAAGCACAGGGCATTGTCCCATGTTTACAAAGAACCGTGTTGGAAATAGGTGCACATTCCGTGCATATTTCCGATGTTGAACCCTGGAAACTATGAGAATTGAATCGGAGGCCAAGCCCATCATCCTCAGGTTTGACCAAAAACTTCGGCCACATTGGTTTGCGACAAGGGTAGACCATGATATACACGTCTCGAACGCTCCTAACATCACCAAAACCTGCCGCATTGCGAAATGATTCGCCTTGTGCCGAGCGATTCGCAAGGCAGAGTTCCAGACTGCATGCTTCTGACACCCTGCCGCCGAAAAATACCAAGTCGCCCTGTGAGTTGAACGCCGGTCGATGCCACTAGGTTTGCCAGGCAGAGAGTATTAAGCGCAAGACTGATCGTAGAGCGTTCGCGACAGACGATGCTCAAGTCATCTCTCACATCCAACGGCCATGCGGCAGTTGAGTAAATATCTAGTTGCTCAAGTTGCGCCAACATGTCGACGCCGCTCCTTCCGGTGTATTTCGAGCTAAGCTGGTCGATCTTGAGTACCATCGGTGCCACCAACGTTATGCTTGGCTTCCTCATCGCCGGGATCACAACCTTCTCCCAGATAACTGCGGTGCCAATCGTATCGTCAGCTGCTGGCGCTATCGCGAACGGACTCTGCTACTACGCATTCTACGATGAGACGTATTCCCTCAAGAGCAAAGCAGCGGCGTCGGTGTTTGGTGATATCTTCTGGATGGTGAGATTAGAAATCAAAGGTGTTCCGCGTACTTTATGTTAATATTGCATATAGATTCAGGAAGTCGGTTTATCGTTCTACAGTTACGTTCTTCTCCGAAGAATCTTGAAGGACTTGGGCTGGAAGATCTTCAACAGCTTGTTCTGGATCATGGTTCTCTCAATCATATCATTACGCATCATGATCGCCGTCTCGCGTGCCAAATTTATCTTAAGAGGCAACACGAACCTGCAGAGCACCGTCAACAACCTACACATCGGCTACTTTGTTCTCATAGCTTTGCTCGAGTGTATCAGCTCCTTTTTCTTGCTCAAGACGTTCGCCGAGGTCAAGTCGACATCGTTGAGAGCAGCATTGAAGGGAGGTCTGTTCAAATATCTAATGCGAAGCACTGAAGTCCGGCTTGCGACGCTGGCTTTGGTTGGAACAATGAGAGCCGTCACATATTCTTTTCAAATTGCTGCTCAGAGTGCTACAAACGCGGCAAGTCAGGTTGACCGCTTCGCTTATACACTTGAGTGCCTATTCCCTGTAGTCATGTTGTGAGTTACACCCCTATACTCCCACGTGTTGCATAGTGCTGCTGTCTAATATTACCTGTGTAGCATTGACATCCTGGCATCTAAACTCGTCTTCACGACACAGGTCTACCACCCTACACAGCCAAGTCGATTGCCTATCCGAGGATTTGCATCGTATCAGAAACAGAATGATTGGTATGCTGCCACACAACACAGCGAGAGACTAGTCGAGGTTCGCGGTGGCAGGCGGACAAGCTCTCAGGAAAACATCATCAGCGCTAGCTCGTCCAGATCCAACATCGGGCTCGACGGAATTGAACCGACGTCGCTGGGAGGGATCAACAAAACGGTGGAGATTAGCGTGTTGCACTCAATGCCGGCGAGACCAAACACCCAGGCGCACTTCTTAACATCTCCATAGCAGTTTTTCAACATGTGGAAACCTACCTTAACTACGTAGCCTTTGCCACGTAGTCGATACGATCTAGCAGAACAGCATGGCGTACAGGCTGAAAATACATTGATGATACCCTGCAATTCGTTACCCTCTTCACTTTTCTCAAGCAAATCATACCAAGGTGACAACAGACTTTGCAGAAGCCAGTAGGTCCGCCCCAAATGCTGCTCCGTCCTGGACGAGCATCCCAATTCTCCTCATACAACCAGGTCGATCCTCCGAAGGGACCACAAGTAGTGCATGAGCACATGGATCCTTCCGCTCGGGATCTGCCTCGAAAGGAGTGCCGTAGGTGAAGGCCAGAACGACAGCACTCAACTCCACTGAATTGAGGAGACTTACGCTAGCAGCATAGTCCCGGTCAATCGTATCTAGCATTGCGTAGAAGTCAGTCGCGCCCTTCTCGGTCCTCAGAAGTATGTGTCCTGTCGGGCCTTTGTTGTCGGACACGACCATCTTCACAAGCGGAGCTTCGAGCTTAATCCAGCCGTCTTTGACACGACCAAATGGATTTTCGCCGTCAATCTCGACCTTTGCCTCAATGATCTCTGCATGAGGTACACTCTCACCCAAGAACCCCGTCGCAGGAGTACCATCGACAGAGGCCCATGACCACGACGGAGCGCGGTAGCCCCCCGAAGCAGGCTGGCAGCTCAGTGGCTGCCAACACAACCCTTCGATTAAGGAACCTCGCCACAGTCCTGCTAGATACTCGTCGTCGAGTATCCTGCTGAAGGTCTTCGCCACACCGGAGAATGCAGGCAGTTTATCAGCAGGGTTTGTTAGCTCCCTAGGTCCGTACTCGCGCAAGAGGTGAGACCAGGCCTTGAGCGAGGGTGTGGAGCGGTTGAAGTCTTTGTGAAGCTCTGCCTGCTCCTCGGCGCGCTTCTCCACATGGGCAATTACTTCTGGGTCGGGATTGACACAGGGTAGTCGGCGTGGGAGTTTGAGTCCTTCTTCGGCGTGGAATCCCTCGAGACATTCCCAGTACATTTGTTCGCTTCCAAAGTGTAGTATTCTTCGGGCAAGAACACGCTCTTGGAAGCCCCAGGCTCTTCTTGTCAGAGGCTCCTCCCTCATTTGCAAGTGGTACTCATGGATGATTTCTTTGTGGAGAGGTAGAACAGACGCAAGGATGAATGTGTCTTCGTTGCTGGAACTTGCCCGAGGAAGCTTGAAGTATGTCCTTTTCTTCCGAGGCGAGAGGAGGCCTCCACTAATGTCAGAAGACTTTGTGGCCGCAAGAGTGAGGTAGGAATTAGAGTAGACTGCAGCCATTTGACCCGACTCTCGCTCCCAGTCTTTGAGATCATCCTGGCAGATGCAGAGACTGTCGATCCAGAGATACTGAACTCCGAGTTTTCGAGTAATGAAGACTGCATCCTGAAGGGTCTGTGGTAAGGAGTCCAGCAAGAAACCCTCCTTTCGTGCTTGCATTGTTTCGTTTGTTGTAGTGAATTGCTTCGATCCTTGACCCCAGCAGTAGCTTAGAGTAATGTATCGATCGCGGAGATCAGCACCTGGCTCGATGAGTTTGATGGCGGGACCGGACTCCAGTGTTCCAACGTCAAGTACACGACTTGGTAGAGGTGACATCCCGCGAGTACTACAATAATCATGTTCGTTGCACTTCTCAAGCCAGTCAACAGCTCGACGGAGTGTCGCCTCGTCTGGAACTTCTCTCAACACGCGACCAGAAGAACCGGTGGTGCGAGGATCATCTAAGTCACAGATGAGCATTGATATCAAGAAGTTGAAGTTGAGTAGGCAGTGGAGAGAAACTCACCTTCATCCGAACTGAAGCCGATGGACGCAATCGGGACGAGCCACTTGTCGCTCCCCCACGAGCTTCTATTCACCACCCAGAACCCATCGCCGGATATTTCAGACTCTGATCGCTTCGTCAGCCACATATCCCAGCTGGGCTCGGTCTGCATCAGACCGCGTCTCGGCTGGGGAAGGCCTGCGATCTCCTCCATCAGTGCATCGGCTTCTCTCTCAATGATCCGACAGAGTTCGCAACCGCCAGAGGTAGCTTGGCGGAGACTCTGGAGGCTTGCATGGTACTGGACGCCGAATTTTTTGATGGGCGTGTCTTTCTCAATCAGCTGACTCTGCAATACTAAGTGATGAAAGCGTGGGTAGCCGCTCAAAGTCTTCATAAAGTTTTCATTCGGAAAGGGAGGGAGATCCTCCCATGGGATGGATTTGCAGAGGTCGCAGAGGCGCATGTTGAATGTAAGATTACTTCTCACGACGGAATATAGGCAAGTGAAACGAGTTGGACGGAACAATATATAAGCGGTGTGTTATCTTGATGTTTAAGTATTGAGATTCGATAATTTAGAGTAGCTTTTCCCGTTCATTTTAATCTCGATGAAGCCTAAACGTGGCGGACTCGCGAACCATTTGGTGCTGCCTAATACGCACACGTGAGGAGCAATCTGATGCGAACCAAAAGTCCTCTTGACCAATCCTGTGCCGATCGACCCGAGATGCGGTTCTAGTGCATTTGAACTATTTTTTTATTTTTTTTTAAACTCTTTTTTGACAGAGGGATGACAGAACCGCGAGTTTCGCCGTCCAGCAATCACCGCGGTCAACGATGAAGTCAAGCGAAGCTTTCTCTAATGTCGTACAAGGCCAGCTTGTTTAATAGAGGGCGCAATCCCGGGAAACTGGAGTCTGGGATCCAAGGTTGCAACACCAGGCAGAGCAGCATGCAGTAATTGGCCTCAATCATTCATGGGACTGGAGAATTAACCCCCAAAAGCGAACCCACGAATCATCATCCAGTCTCAGACCCGTTCTCAGTCACAAACAAGGTTAATTTAGTGTTGTCAGCTAGTTGCCTGTCGGCCAATTAGCCAGGCTCCCGGTCTGGCGCTTCAAGTCCCTGTCCATGCTCTCCTTCATCAAGACCAGCAAAGCGATGGCACGCTGGCAAGGGACTTTGGTATTTCTAGTGCAGCCGACGTCTGGCAGTGCATGAAGCTCTGCGTTATGAATCGTCACATCAGTCAGCCCAGCCCTATTAGCTGCAGGATACCATAGGCCGCAATTAGAGACCCTGCTGTGCCGCCTCCTTGGCGTCAATGTCTTCCAAGTCTCGTAGAGCGTATGGAGCCTGATGATTGCCAAATTTATGTCGGTCTTCCAGTCTGAGGTGAACTTGAGAATCCTACGCGTCAATAGAGACCGTATCATTGGACAGGGGAAAATTCTGACGAGGCCACCTTGGACATCAATGGAGCAGTGGGCATCTCGATGTCGGCTGTCACCTGGCATTGCTCCTCCAGCGGGCGAGAAGGCACAGTCGCAGATCTTGGCTCGTGTTCTGACGTCGAACCTGGGGGCCGATTCGGTCCTCAAAGTAGGTAGCCTCCAGAGTGGGTAAGAAGGACACGAGACTTTAGAGCCCTTGGATGGTCTCCCGTAGATTTGGAAAGTATTGAAACAAGACGAAGCGAAGTGAGTAAAAGCCTCGCCTTAGCGTGGGGTCGGATGTGAGCCCAGATATACATACGGCAAGAGACCCACGAAGCACTCTCGCTCGTTCTCTTGAACTCTTGGAACTTTTGTGTTCTTGACATCTCGTACTCCCCTACGCTCGTTCTGAACTGGAACAAAGGAAACTCCTCCCTCACAAGCCGCTCACCATGAACCGTCAAGCTGAGGCTGCTCAACCAGGGCTTGAAGTAAGCACACACTACGACAACACTCCTATAGCTATCGCCAATGGAGCAAGTCACTGGCAATCTTCCTCACAAAACGGCTCGGGCTACAGTGAGCACAAGACGTTGGACAATGGCTACTCCTCGCAAGCCCCTGAAAGCCATGTTGGAGGACAGGAGGATCAGCGGCCGGGTCGGCGATTCCCGTGGTGTATCGCAATCACGGTGGCTCTAGTCGTTTTGATTCTTGGAGGTGTCATCGGCGGCGTGGCTGCATGGAGGGTGACGGTGAACCGGAGCGCACAATCACAAACGGGTGGTCCGGGATCGGTAAACGGCGATGCGCCATCGACGAGCGCTACTAAGATTATGCAGAACTCGGCTGTATCTGCTGTCGGATGGCGATACGGTTCCGACATCACCCTGCAAGTCTTCTTCCAGGGCGCAGACGGTTCATTGAGACGGTCTCAATACATGACCATCTATCAAGCCTGGACTCCCCCGATGGAAGCTGGGGCGGCCCCCAAAGTGGGCTCTCCTTTCGGCGCCGGTCAGCTATGGACCAAGCCCGATGAGGTTCGTATTTACCCTTTCTTCGTCGGTGGACCTTTCACTAAAGACGTCTTGTGAAGCCCTTGCCTGTAATCCCGCAGTCCGAAGTGTTCTATCTTGGATCGCCAGACAAGATTCTCGGCGTCAATTGGCGTGAAGGTTTCTCGAGAGGGGGCCTGACAGACAGCGTCAATGAGGCAGGTTACACCATCAGCAACACGGGAACACAGATGGCATCATACTGGCCGTCCACCATTATCCAGGCAAGCAACGGAGACGTCATGGAGGTTTTTTTCGATTACAAGTCGCCCAGGTTCCAAGAGCCCAAGATAGTTGGGGTCACGGCGTCTCCGGGCTCGGGACTGGTGATTCTTCCTCGAGAAGTAATCCACTCAGCTGGAGACCTGACATCCGCATCAAGCGCACGCATCATATACCGTAGCACCGACGGTCATCTACAAAACTATGATCGATCATCTGGTGGCCAGCAGCTCACCTCGACGGGCCAGCTACCGGTGACTGTCGACTCGAACTTTACCATGGCTGGCTTCGCGGTAGCTCGGCTTGATTCTAGCGGCCAAAAATCAGAGGCCCTCAACACATGGGTCCTGTACCAGGACTCCAAAACTGGCAAGATATCCTACGTGTATGAGGACGACACGACAGGGTGGAAAGGGCCAGAGTCGGATTCCGTCTTCGATGGTGCTGACAATCCAACACATATCGCCTGCGTCACAGCTGCGTCGGCAAAGATTCCGGAGGTGCCTCTGGAAGCATCGCATGACCTCAGTCATTGCTTCTTCCAAGCGAACCGGCAGCTGAAGCATGTCCACTTTGATGGCAGCAAGTGGGCAGATATGGGGTTCCTCCCAATACCATGAGATGGCGTCGAACCATTGTTGAATAGAGCGAGGAGTTTGGGACTTGTTTCTGTCGGTCAAGGCCGTAGTGCTGCCATTAGTACCATAGTTACAAAACTTGTTAATTTCATCCTAGAATGTCTAACGTTTGAGGTTGAGATGGCTGTCACAGCCTGGCACGTTGTCGTCCAACAGGCTGGCATTGGTCAAACACGGTAAATTTTTGTTAGGTATCAGCAGTTGCATATCGTACATGTGTCCCTTGTTTGCTTATTTCTCGAAGCGCTTGGCTACAGTCTTCCAGTTGACAACGTTCCAGATGGCGTCAAAGTACTCGGCCTTGCGGTTCTGGTACTGCAGGTAGTAGGCGTGCTCCCAAGCATCGATGCCGAGAAGAGGCTCGAGGTTGCCGGTAACGGGGTCCTGGTTCGCGCGAGTGACGACGCCGAGGGTGCCGCTGGTCTTGTCCTTGACCAGCCAGGCCCAACCGCTACCCTGGATTCCGGCCAGGGAGGTGTTGATCTGCTTGCGCAGGGTGTCGAAGGAGCCAAAGTCCTCCTTGATGGCTTGCTGTGGAACGTGTCAGTATCTTCTCAATGCAGAGTGTGGACTTGTTTCGAAGAGGTCTCGTACAGCCAGTTTGCCGTCGGGCTCACCACCGCCATCTCTGCTGGCAGGGGCAAGGTTCTCCCAGAAGAGAGAGTGGTTGACGTGGCCACCGCCGTGGAAGTTGATCAAGGGAGCTTGAGCAGCAGCCTTGGCGTAGTCGCCCTTGGCGTTGGCATCTTCGACGGTCTCAAGAGCGGTGTTGAGGCCGTTGACATAGGTCTGGTGGTGCTTGGAGTGGTGAAGCTCCATGATCTGGGCCGAGATGTAGGGCTCGAGGGCGCCGTAGTCATCTGCGTAGGAGGAGGCATTAGCGCGTCTGTATCCTCGCAACGAATACGATGACAATACCGGCGTTACCTACAAGAGATATCGGGCAGAGTAGCCTTGCCGCGAACGAAGCTGGTGCTGGCCAAAGCAGCAGCAGCAGGCTTAGCAGCACCAGCTCGCAGAGCTGTGCGGAGGACGGGCGCGGTACGGAGGAGAGTGGACGACATTTTGCGTATTCTATGTCTTTTGATTAGTGTCAATGGTTTTGATCAAGTTTTCCGAGATGCTAAAGACCAAAGGAGCGAGGCAGTAAGGGCGTAAAAGTACCTTTTGACGTTGGATTGGCGGGTTGACAAATGCTGGTGCAAATCTCAGAATGATGTCAATTGCGGGAGGTTCGGTCGGCTATTACGTGAGGGAGCTCGGATCTCCAGAAAAGCTGCCTCCGGGCTACGGCTACCGAGCTGTTGTTGGCCGGGCTCGCTCTTCAGCGCTTTTGCGCTTCTCCCCGTGTTCCTCCAGCGGTTCCCCGTCTACTGCTTTAGATACTTAATCACCTAATCAAGCTTTCAGCGAATGAGAGACGTGGAGAAATGTCGTCATCCACTAAAAGTGGGGAGCTGTCACCTCCAGCTTCCTTGGAGCTTCTGGTACACTCTTAGGTAATCCATCACGTCTCATTGGGTTGCTCTTCTGCCTCCGCCTTACTCATGCATGCACAGCCACAGCCTCACCCAAGGAATATGGCTTGGAAGTGACAGACATGGCGGGGTCATGTGTGGCTGGGCTCCAAGAACCGCGTCTGCTGCATCGCCAGACGCGTCAAGCTTCACCAGCAGGCCCCCTCCCAGGTTCGAACTCATATCCCAGTTGTGAACACCCAGTCAAACGAAGCGAGGGTCTTGTCAAAGAAGCCAACATGTCTTACTACGACATTGATTCCATTCTCACAGATGCCGAGGTATGCAGTGATTCCCTATATCATGCCCCTCTCCTCATGCCATTACCTTCACGCTTGGCATAATCGATGACAAAAGCTAACAACCGCCTAGAAAGTCCCCTGCAAATTCGAACTCGATGTTGCCGACCTCGGGTACCTCGACAATAATCCCTCGCATGCTTTAAAGGCAGGAACCAACGTCAGCCTCCCTCTCTGGCTCGCCGAGATGCTTGCCCTTGCCAATGCAGGCACCGGCGACGACTCCAAGGCGCCCGTCACCTTGAACCTTCCTCCCTCACTCTCGAATCAAGTCGTACAAGCACTCAAGGCTGATGCGCGCTCGGTGCCGGTTAGAGACCAGAGCGCCCACTTCTACGGACTCGGCACTCGCATCCTGGATCTCTTCGACGAGCGCGACCTTAGCGACACCATGCGAAAGACGTTCATAGCGCGCGCGTCTGAGATCGCATTGCACGCCCGAAAAGGAGGTGATGATGGTGTTGGAGGCTCCGGTGAGGAGTTCCTCCGCGGCCTGGATGAGTGGGAGCGAGGACTTTTCCGAAAAGCTCACGACGGCACAAAGGCTTCCAAGGAATGGATGGATAAGGTCAAGAAGCATTGAGTAGCCAACTACGCCATCGACTTATATTTCAGACGCAACGATACCGTTACGGTCATGTCCTGGCTTGCTTTCGTTTGCCAACAACAGAGGACGGCTACAGGTTGTCACTGCCACGGATGCATAGTCTCCAGATCTGCAGTCGGCCTCTCGCAGAGACAACACGCTGGAGCATTGAGAACACTCTCCTAGCCGCTTCCCTTCCGACAACATGGTCCGCTTCGGATGGCGCAAGGGCGGAGACCGACGCAGCCATGCCAGCCGCGGGCTTTGAAGAGATGGAATGCACCAGTGCGCACTGAGTGGCTGCCACGCGAGAATCTGTAATATTTCGGAAACAGCTATCAGAAATTCGCGGGATTCTGCGCCCGTAGGCCGAGTCGCGGGCGGAAGAGATGGAGGGGTGGGATTGAGGGGTGGCTGGGTGACTCGCGGGTTCGGCGTTGGGTCTTCGAGCCGATGTTGGTTCAAGGATGGAGTCATGTACCTTATTAATTGGGGTACGCGAGCAGCCAGATGTTAATCACTTTCAACAAGAGGCTGACGGTACTGCTTGATAGGTGCACAAAGTCCCAATCCAGAATCTTCAACTAGTCGACAAATATCGAGAGTATTCATCCGATAACACCAGCAGAATACAAACCGGAAATGCGCAATCCGGTGTTCTACGCCACAGCCATATCGAGAAACCCCACCATCTCTACATCTAGTCTCTCGAGTGCGGGCGGGCCGGTGCGGGTCAGATAACAAACTCACCCGCAGGTCATCGGCGGGATCCGAGTTGACGACTCCACCACAATATATTTCACAAGATATAAAACCCTCTTCAGGGCCACCGGACTGCTACCTGAATTCAATTTAGACGTTGGAAGACAGCTGCCATTCGAAACAAGGTCAACGCACTATCAAATTAAGAACCAATATTACTCCGAACTCTAGCTCGAAAATGGCCATCTCACAGACTCCGTCTCGCATAACCGTCCAGCCAATTGTCCCTGCTGCGGACTCGGATGTTGACTTTGGCGCTACTATAAGCAATGCTGATATTGAGAATCTCACTGGTAAGATATGACGCGAGCTTGATGCATTGAAAGCGATGATGTTGTACAAGTAGTGGGAGAATACCCGTGAAATCGGTAACCTCCTCTGGTAAGCTTCAAGTAACAAGACTCACAAATTCAGACCATTGGCTGACGATTTACAGATGCCGACTTTGATGTCATCCGTGAAGCTCTCTTCAAGCACCAAGTTCTCGTAATCAAGAACCAGGGACATGCATCTCCCAAGGCACAGTTTGAGATTACACAAAAGTTCGACCCTGACTCTGGTGAGAACTACGGTCACGGCAAGACCCTGGACGCCAAGCGCTCCATTCTTCACCCTGACCTGAAGACCATCCCGCACCAGCCTCAAGTCCAAGTCATTGGCAATGGCTTCGTCGAGGAGTACGAGGGTCTGAAGAATATCCAGCTCAGACACCCTCACCACCGCACATTCCACGCCACAACCATCCCTGATGAGGATGACCTGGATTTCACACGTTTCTACCGCTGGCACATCGATGCCGCGCTCTACGGTCTCGCACCGCCCGTCGCCACGACTCTCCTGGCAGTTCGTGTGCCCGGCGGCCGCAAGCAAACCCTCCGCTACGACGACGGCACCGACGAAGAGATGACGGTCCCTCTTGGTACCACAGCCTTCGTGTCCGGTTACGCAATGTACGACAACCTCTCGCCCGAGGACCAGGAGTTCGTCCGCACGACAAAGGTGGAGTACGCACCGCATCCCTACGTGTGGATGAGCAGCGCCAAGTCCCGCTCCACCGGTCTGGGCATGGTCTCGGAGGGCAAGGAGGTCCCGCTCGACGACCTGCCCCCCATCGACGAGGAAAAGATCCAGATCCTGCCCATGTGCTGGCGGAACCCCGTCACGGACCGGCTAGCGTTGCAGGTCCACCCCTCGGCGGTGCGGAAGCTGCACTTGGCGGACGGCACCGTGGTGGAGGACCTCGCCGAGGTGCGGGAGACGGTGCACCGCCTGCAGCGGCCGGGCATCTCGCCCAAGAACGTGTATGCTCACGACTGGGAGCAGGGCGACTTTGTCATTTTCCACAACCGCGGCGTGATCCACTCCGTGGTGGGCGCCTTTGCGGAAGATGAGGTGCGGTTGTTCCGGCAGTGCAACATTGCCGCCGCCCGGCTTCCTCAGGGACCTGTCGAAGTTGCCGCGGCTGTGTAGATCGACTATTGCTTTGGATTCCGCTTTGTTTTGTATGACCTTGTAATGAGAGTTTAGCCCAATGAAATGATTTTTTACGACGATCTTCATGAGTGATGCTCTGCGCTATTGAAGGCTAATTCTGCAATTTGACTCGAGAATCGAGACATGCTGCGGATACAACGGGTCCCCCATTAACAACAGTCTACTAACGTCACTGCACTTTCAACATCGTGATGAAATACCTCCTGTATACCCGACAAGTACGGGTAAGCTCGCAGCTAGCGTCACATTTGAGTCGACATGTCAAAACGCTCTGACTCACCGGCCTACTTGACGTTTTCCCCGCGATGTAATGGCACATGCATGTCGTGTCACACTGGTGAGCACGCCAACGAACGATCGGCATTCACGATCCGGAATCGGAGCCGGCGGCCGTGAGCTTCTGCCGAGACCTCTAACACCCCGCACCGAGCATTCCATGAGATGTCGTCTCGTACGATATGACGAAATCGTATGAGTGAAGGGGCGGAATTCACTACGAGAGACATGAAGGTGAAGGAGTAAATGTTTCAAAGTGTGTCAAATGCGATTTGCGTGATGAATTAAATAATTTAACAGAAATCCGCCAATGCCTCCAGAGCCACCAAACCCAATGTGAGTAGTTGAACCAGGAGATATCCGATGAGACGCCTGACCCTAAACCGAGACTTTTGTTATGAGAAAAAAGAAGGGGGTATCATTCTAATCAGAGCCGAGAGCCCTTCGCTTCGCTGAAAGAAAGGATGAACGCAAGACTTGTGCAAGAGTTGAGCGGTCCATGTGCACAAATCTAGAGGTGCTTCCAGAACTTCCACTTTTGCGATTTTTGGGCGTGCTCCAGGTCGGTGATGAGGAACTTGCTGAGCTTCTTCCAGCCCTCTTCGGGAAGGGACTCGATGGAGTCGTTGAGCATGTCCATGCAATACTTGGTGGCTGAACAAGGTGTTAGCGAAAGGAAACTCATGTAAGAGGCGAAAAGTGGGTGTGTCAACGTACGCATCATGTCCATGGCGTCCTCCCTATCGGCAGCAATCTCCATACGCGTCGAGTTGTAGCAGTGATATTGTTGCTGGAGCTCAAGCATGCATTCCCAAAGCTCTTGCAGGTTGGTATCCTCGGCGGAGGCGCGGCGGCCGCTGAGAGAAGGCCTGGACTGAGAAGTCTGTTCCACCGCCGTCGGGCCCGGAACGCACTCGGTCATGGTGACTGTGGCATCGGCCTTCTCGTTCGTGGCGCAGGGCCTGATGACGATATCGTCTTCGCTGTCGCTCTCGGGCCACGAGTAGCCTGAGCTGCTTCGCTTGGGGAACTGAGTTTGTGACTGACGGCCAAACATGTTGGGATGGTGTTGAGGTGTATGTGATCCTTGCGTGTATGAGAGTACAATGTTTAGTTGTTGATAGTTGAGATCAAGGTGGTATGTGGTAGTAGCACGTCTGTGTGTGCTGGGTTCCGTCGTGTTGGTATTTGTACTCCTTTGAGGTGTGTTGCTGTAAGTGTCTGTGCTTAATGTTGACGTGAGGTGTCGATGGGTGCCCGATGTAAATATAGGGGAACCGTTCAGACGAAGAGCCAAGTGCCGTGCCAGGAATTGGGATCCGACGAATATGACGAGAGAGCAGTTCGAACGGGATCCCAAGCCCACTATATAAGCCGCGGGTGCCGGAACCCTATGCAGTGATCACCAATCTAAGGCTCAGATCGTTCGAGACGAGGCGCCCTAAAAATCTGAAGAGCGATGGCGATCAGACCCGCGGCGGCGCCCAACGGAACAAGGCCGATCCTTACTTACTCATGCCAACGCCCATGGACATTATTATTACCACCAGCCCATCAGGCCAAGGGAACTTGAGATGTGTGTGTGTGTGTGGCTCTGGGCACACTCGTGGCACACCTCTCAGGGCGCTGAGGGTACAAAGCCAGCCATGGCCGCATACATCTCTGAGACTAAGGAGTAGCTACTAGTACGAAGTATGTATAGCACTCTGTATAAAGTAGTACTTCTGAGGTAATTGGACCTAGAATGAGTAATGACGATGGGGCCGGGAGGGTTGCGCTGTGAGCTCCGTCTGGCCCGGGCAGTGTCCGGAACTGGGCATTAAATGGGTCCAACCAAGCAATTTTTTCTTCTCTTCTCCTTGAAGTCCTTGCTTCTTGGAGCTACTTTGGGGCCTTTTGGAGACGAGGCCTTTCTCCAGCACTCCAGCTACGAATCGATTCTCACGAATCACTGATTCAAGGGAACTCAACGGGAAGAATGTGCAAAAAAAGGGCCGAACCACGTAACCAAAAAGGGGCCCTACGCGAGAAAAAAGAACTGGAGCTACGACGCAGGAGTTTTCGTTTGTGACGTCGAATTGGTCCCTGGAAACAATTAAACGAGAGGGACAAGAAAAAATTATGATGGAAATTCTCCGATGTGTCAACAAATTTTCAGTTTCGTGTCGATGAGGTACTTGTTTGTGTACCTCGTAGTGTACATACGTAAAGTGTGTGCGTGTGTGTTGTACGAATAAAACCTGCACGCCCGACTTACACTACGTGACTACATTATCAATGCCTTACCTACCAAGTATTCACCTTGCGGAAGAGTGTCATGCGAATGGAAGAGAGGACCCTCTCCCCTTGCATCTCGAATTGTGGATGCCACCGGATGGCGCTGCAAGAAACTTTCCCGCGCCCCTGGTCTTGTCATGATGTTATGGCGGTGTCAGCTTCGCGTTTCTGAGTGGATGAAAACAGCTGGCCGACGTGGACGAGCGTGGCTGCGTGGTCAGGCGATGAAAGGCCGTGGCATCCGTCCGCGCCCGCGGGATGGCCATCTGCCGGGCGACGAGGAAACTCAGAAAGAGAGAGAGAGAGAGAAAGATACGACATTGATAGTGGCTACGGTCAAGTGTTCTCTCTTCCCGGGCACGCATGAGGCGTAAGGTAGCGTTGAAACCTTTTGAATGTTTTGTTGTGGGTTATCAACGGGCCATGATGATGGGTGTGTTTCTCCCTGGCGACCAGTCAGTGTCAGTGTGACTGGATGATGCGATACCACGCTGATATGGAGCGATAAGGCCATCATCGCCCGTCTAGGGCCCAGATTCGCCCAGGGCAACACTCTCAATGGCTTCATGACCTGCGGTGAAGGGGTTCACTGTGCTAGTCTGTGTCTTGGACACTGAGACATGCGCCCTAACCCAACCTTCTTCGGTACTTGCGTGCCTTGGATCAAATGACGGTGACGGTGCGGGATGGGCGCGGGAAGTTTGGGTGTGCGAGACATGTCAGATGAGTCTTTTGGTGGTGTCTCCTTCAACCCTACCTACTTTCATGAGTTCTTGATTGTCAAGTCAAGGTACAAACAACCATGAACCAACCTTCTTGAGGCTTGAAACCCTCGAAGCCCACAGGGCTGCTGCTGCCTGCGTTCCCTCATTTACCGCCAACGGGCCTCATCTCAAAGTTCCCGTCTATTCCCGCGAATGGGACCACTAGAGAGGGTTGCCCTGCAGGGACCGATTCCGCACCGGACTCACTGATCGGCGCCCGACTTTCGGTGAAGTGGGCGACTTTGGCCGAAGTCTTTTTGAGGGTGTAAGGGCACGCAGTACGTAGGTATGCGTAATAAGAGACCAAGGAACTTGGGGAGAGACTTCTAGCTGAGATGTAAAAAGAGGCTACTACGGAAACCGGCAGTACCGGTCGTTAGCTAACCTTGCCTTGCATAGGTAACACACATTACCTTGTTTCTTACGGTAATCAGATCCTCTCACGCCTCTCTTGAAATAGGTCAAGGAGGGATCACTGTGGCGCTCTGCATGGTGCCGTGGACACATCAGAGACGGACACATCGGACGCCGTCTAAAAGATGACCGGACGGCACTGCTAGCAAAGTCAAAGACCACACAGTCTGACGAAATTGAATCCTTTGGTCAAAGCTTGGTTTGACGTCCAAGAGGTCTAGACTCTTGGGATGACCTTGTCAATGAGATGAAGCTCGTCTGCCATGTCTGCCAATTCTCGAACAGCAGGAAACAGCTCATCACTCGCTCGGTCAGTGCGTCATTCAGACGCAACTCTTGTCATCTCATTTGTCCGCATTTCATCGCATCTCAGCTTTGATCTGATTCACTCTCCTCTGAGCCCTCTCTCATCTTCACATGCCCACAGCCCCGTCACCAACACTTGGCTCCTTGGCCTGGTCCTCTGCTGACCCCGCAAAGCCACTCATGATTCTCAACGCCAAGTGTCCAGCCCGTTGCGCCTCTGAAGTCCTCTGGGCTGTTTGCGCCCCGCCGAGCCACTTTGGCTGAGAATTTGTCAACACAGCTGACGCCCGCACAATCCCTTTGTCACGTTTAAACTCCAGTGACGGAATGGCCCTCGGAAAGAGAGCAAGAAAAACTTGCAGCTCCTCGGTCCGCGAAGCTGCGACCGGTGAGGGGCTTTCAAAGCTCCCGTCCCCGGTCCCGCGGAGCTGTCGGCCGGAGCCCATTCCGTAGGTAGTGCCCGCTCACTTGGCCGAGATGAGGGGGCTACGATAATCACGAGGCGTCAATAAGAGCCGGGAGCCGAGCCTACTTTTTACTTTGCATAGCCGCGTTACAAAAGTCCTGTTGCTCCAAGGTTGCATCTAAAAGTCTAGAATGTCAAAGTCTCCCTGCTCAGTTTAGTCATCCAAATATCCTGCATATCCGAATGAGATAAGCCACCACAAGAAAGCCGAGAAGCCATCACGTTCGCCCGGCTGAACCTTTTTCTCGTTGCTTTCAGCACTGCGTCCTGTCCACTAAACGCTCGCGCTTTTCGTCAAGGATGCCTTATCCCGGCAACACGGAGAGTTCTTGGCCGTTGTCCCCTTGACGTACGATCCGGAATCCGCAAAGTCATTTTCTTGTACATCAGCTATACCCCGCATGTTCCAACGCCTGGTGGGCGTCCGAGGCGTCACAGGTCCATAATGAGATATAAGGTTGCAGTGGTCTGATGGAACTTTGTAGATTTACACATCAGATCTGGCTCAAAGCTTGCTGCGCCGCGGCACACTCGGACGACGGAAATGCCGGCTCCGGCGGAATGGACCGTTTTTCAATCCCGTTCCCGGCCGATAGACTACGCCCTGCCAGGAAGGTCTCGATGAACGACTCGTCTCCGGATTATCGAGCATCTGGCAGCTTAGGAGCAATGCGAGGGCAATGATTCCCCTAGAATCTTGCACGTGATGTACTAAGCGACTGAGGAAACAACTTCTGAGGGACACTGTTCACACATGGGACTCAACACCTGAACTTGGAAGAAACTCTTGGCGTACGTTTGATAATGTTGGCCTCGCTCTTGCAGTCGTCAGCCTGCGGCTTTACTTGGTGCGAACCTCGTCGATAGGTATAATCCTATGCTTCCATCCGGGATTTGTGGCTGCACTGAGGATTGGTCTTGGATCATTCCACCGGCAGCACCAATCTCCTCACCTACGTTCCTGCCACCTTGACATCCCCTGCACTTGAACTTTGACGTGTATTATCCTGTATCTGTGAGACTCCAATCTTTTGCTTTTGGGTGGATGACCTCGGCCGGAAAGACGCTGGTCCAGTTTCTACCGCGTTTGTAACCACGTAATGAGTAGCAGAACAAGGGCAAGGGTGGCAAAGCAAAAGTTCGCCGTCATTGATGATTTACTTGAGTATCAACAGACCAGATTCTTGCACACTAGCTGTAGCCATGACGGGGCTCCGAAAGGAACAGTTGAACTATCATCATGGATGATTGACAAGTGCATGCGGGGAACAAGGACTAAGAGGGCGGTAAACTTGTCATAAAACGGACTGACTATCTTGAATAGCAGCAACAGCTTCCATGTATGCCACAGTATTAGATCTCACTCACGGAAGGAAGCAGCTCTGGCTTTCTAAGGCGATGGAAACCAGACCGTGAAGTCTAGGTTGTGGTTGGTTGATGATTGACTGAGGGAAGGAGTTACTGATGTTGTCTGTGGGAAGGGCTACCACTGCCTTTGCGAATCTGGCGTATTTCACTGTACGGCACCTATATTCAAGATGGGATCCAAAACAGGTGCTTCTGAGCTTTACCATGTCGGTCGTTCGAGCACGATTCTCCCGAGCGTTGTCTTCTTAGTGACACAAAAGCCCAAGTCTACTCTCCCAAAACCGATCCTCACTACATTTCCTGATGATATTCAGACGCAAGCACCATCAGTCGACTCCGTGATCTGGTCTCTTAAGAACCGCAACAGCATTCATCACCTGTGACGAAACAGCTACTCAGACCGTGAAGTCTTCTCATTGAGGATGGCAATTCATGCACTAGGTATGATCATTCGTCTGCCAGGCTCCGCGTTCAACGTACTTGGGAGGGTCCCGGCGTTGAACATCGTATGCCTCCCTTAGAGACATTGCAGAACATGGTGTGAGGTGACTCCTGTCCATGAACAATAGCGAGCAGCCGCTCATGTTACTTTATCCCAAAGAGAATCGAGCAACACACACGAATGGGTACCAAGCTGCGAATTCTCGCACATACCCAGCCCGCAAAGAAACCTGTTCTATCTTCCTGATCTCAAGTGAGCCCATAGCGAACAATCACTGCAGCGCTTCAATGCGATTCAGCTTGGATAATCTGGACACATGAACTCTCCCTGGAGAGCCTTCATCACGCTGCTACGTACCGTCCACGACCTTACCGGGCTAAGAGGGTAACACGAAGGGCCCCTGACTCCACGGTCACAGAGCCACGTCCCTTTAAGTACTAAAACTATATTCAGCAATTCGATGCCACCGCCACCGACTCGGCACTCAATCATCTGCTATCAATTCCGCCCCTCTGTGTCACAACCACCTAAAACGGGCAGAGGTTCACAAACACGTTGTTCGGCCGCCAAGAATCTTACGAGTTGACTACCATGCGAAGCATACATCAAGTGGTATACCACGAGGGTTTATTCGAGGATTATCGAAGCAACCTTGATCATTCTGTACGTCCTTCAGTAGACCAGGACAAGAAGACGTTGTTCAATCTTACCTACCAGCTGTCCCAACCAACCAAGGAGAATCTCCGCAAAAGGTAGCGCACGTCTTTACTGTTCAGGCATTCCCTTTGCTGCTTTGCCTTTTGCCCTTGGGCCTTGAGCTTACCCGATCATTATTGTAGAGACTGTGAAGAAGACTTGGGGTGCGTACGGTGAGTGTCCTTTGCCCGTGAAAATTATATAAGAAGAACCGGAGGGGAAGGAAGAACGACGACTTTTGAGCCAGAGTCAACAGGCCATCGACGAAGCAAGAACCCTGAGATCTCTTCAGGAGAGAGTAAACTATCAAAGAAAGCACCTTCTGTCTCGAGCTGAAGTTTAGATTTCGGGAAGCAGCAGCGATCTCAGCTAGACACATTTTCTACTCTTCAACACGGACAATAATTCCTAGCAACATCAACAAGAACAACATTAGTCTCCGAGCCAAATTGATTCTACCACCAGAAGACATCGCCGATTTCATTTTCCAAAAATGTGCACCTACCAGTACAGTCAATATTGGTGCAGAAATGAGAAATGCGAGAACGAGAGTGGAAGTCATCGGCATCTACATACGAAAGTCGAATGCGCGGCTGTGAAGGAGGGAAGAGAATGTGCAGGGCCGATCGATATATTGTCCGCCAATCCCAGGAGGGGTTATTGCGGTAAGTGCGACGGACGCTTCAGCTCAGAGCAAAGCAGCAATTAGGGGCTGGTCGCGTTCGGCAGGCACAAAATCTATACAGCAGGGCAATGAACATGAATATGGTCGAGAACGATGGGCAAGGTCATCGTTTGGAGGGCACCTGATTGTATGTCCAACGAGTTCATAGGCAGCCCAGCGACGGATGCCAATGTTAAGCAACGGGTAGCTCTTAGTGACTGAGCAGTTTCGTGAAAGATAAATCACAGTTTTCAATCATAATGACAGTTGCCCGCATCATTGTGCTGTGCCTTCTGGTGACCGGTTCAGATCTTAGGAAGAAGCAGCTACTCGGCGTCACATCAGGGTTCGAAGGGTCCGGAAGGAAGTTGACTGATTCACCTTCCCAAGTACCATAAGCCACGATATCTCGAGTGCCGGACAGCATGATTCACTTCCTGTCTTCGAAATCATATAAAAGGGTCGATTCCCTTTGCTTCAACCAGAAATTACATCTGCTCCTCAAACCACGCACTTTCAACCAAGCAAACTACAAGACAAACTATCATCACTGCCCACTTCGACAAGAACCCATAAGCAACAAAATCGAAAACAAACACAATCTTCATCTGCCACAATCACCATTACCAGAACGTCACTGACAACATTCGCAAAGATGTGCACCCGACCCTATGTTCGGTACCACTGCGTCAGGTGCGGCACAAACCATAAGGAGAGAAAACTAGCGAGACAGCCATGCGCCCGGAAGAAGGCAGGCCACCCCTGCACAGACGTGCCTGTACTGGCATATGAGCACCGATCGGGCTACTGCGAGAGATCGGCTTGTAATCCATAGGCATCTGGTGGGTGTCTGCAAGAGAGTCCGAGTTGGGCGTCTAGCGCTCGCGTGTAGCACTTTGAGAGATGCCAGTCTTCAATAGCGGATAGCTATCAGTATCTTAGTTCGAAATAAAGCTCCCTAGTAGTTTTCAGTCATTCTAACAGTTGCCCGTATCGTCGTCCTTGTTCGTACATGTGCCCTTCTATAGTTCTGTGCCGGAATCTCTTGTGCCAATTTTTAGAAATAGCCTGCCTGGATTCGCGGAAGTCTCGCGATGAAGAGGTCCGATAATCCCTGTGTGTGTCTATGACCAGATTTACGACTTGGAAAGCTAGCTTCAAGGCCATACGGTGCCAAAATTTGGATATTCAAGCGCCAGAGTGCGGTCTTCAAAACCAGAGAATCGAGGCGGAACCCCGTGGCCACTCAATATCCTATTTCAAGCCAGCAATGATGTCAGTGAGCAGCAGGCCAATATAAATCGTAAATCGTCAATCCTTTCCTCTCGTGTTAGAGTCCTACTGATAAGATGAATCATCACATCCCCAGAATATGTCGATGCTCTCTCCTTCATAGATACTATACTCCGTCCGTGAACAAGATCAAAGATATCTCTAAATTTGCGATTTGAACCAGATTTCTGTTCCTTTGGGATAACACTACCCTGGAAGCTGGAACACCCATTTCGCGCCGCGCCGAGCGGCATGACCAGAAAAGCCATGTTGACGATGAGCAGTACTGGTTGTCTTGTCTTCACGTTGGAGTTACCAGAGTACTGCTCCGTGGCTGAAAATAGTCCATGATTCCAACAGAGCATCTGCCACGTTCTGATGGATTTCAGCAAGGACACGGCATATTGGTGCATTGATGATGCCAGTATTTGGACGTGGTGTATGCCGATATGCCGTGTATAAGTCCACGTATTGCTGTCACAGTGAAACCGGCAAGACTCTTGATAACAGCGAATCGCATGTTACGAGGTTGAGATGATAGCTCATAGTCTTGGAACAACACCAGGTCAGTAAAGCAAACTGCACCTCTGGACATGACTTGGTACCCTCATATAAAGTTGCCAAGTGATCTTTAAGTCACCTCTCCCCATGCTTCTCGGGCTGCTAGCCAATGTTGTCCGTCCATATGCGCCTAGCCCCCTAAACTGATATATATATACATCATGCTTCCCGCAGCAAGCTTGCGCGCAACTAGAAGCCGAGAAATTGGCAGTTCAAGAGTCTTGTTGGATCCCGGCTGAGTGTCGTCAAGCCCGCGCATTGGATGAGGTCGGTGCTGTTGAGGCCAGAACATGGCTCCCAAATCACCCGCTTCTGGCCCAGATTGGTCTGCGTAACTATTATGCGAGCCAATGCAACAGGCGCGAGAATAAAAGGGGCAGTGTCTCCTCAAGTTGCTACTGTTTAAGGAGTGGTGCAAGCCCGTGATGCTGCCTGTTGTCTTTTTTTTTTTCTCGTAGACTTAGGATGATTTTGAGAGAATAGTCACGAACTTCATGATCGGAGGGAACTAGGCGCCTGAACGGCTTGTGGCCACATCGTTGGTGTGCGGGGACTTGGTCACTTTACACGAACGCTTGGTTGAGGTATGAAGTTAAGCTTAAGGTAGTAGTGGGGAGAACCCTTGAGGCTCGACTCGAAGACAACTTTTAAAGTTATGTTACGTGATCAGTCAAGATCAAACCTGCCTCAGTAGGAAGACGAAAATGCCAGACACTGCAAGAAACAATGACATCTTGGGGCCAGGTCGATCCATTCGATGTAGCACTTGAGCGCAGCGCACATCACTCAAGTATCGAGGCGTAAACTCGTACCAAGACGACAACATCGCGGCGATGAGAGCCACACACCACAAACTACTACGTAAGTAGACCACGACGTTGATGTTAAAAGGGCCAACAGCTTTGGCAAACTAAGTCACTCGCCAACGAGTCCATCGAGACGACTGTCCGTACTCAAGTCTCTGGTGGCAGCCACTCGCCGACATCGAGTTACGGCATTCGGCATTGCCCAATCCATCCCTCACACCATCTTTCAATCTCATAAAACTTTTTCAATGCCGACATCGCCGATGCCGGACACCTCAAAAAGATTCAAACACACAAAGAAATGGAAGAGAAAACGGAACGACAAGAGTCAAGAACACACCCACCCAGACGTCCCCGAGTCAGGCTCTGACCCCCATCTGCCTGCCACTGGCGCTCTCCCACTCTGGCGCTCTGGCGCTCTCCATGCGCGCGCCCCCAGTATGCCCCCCCGGCACCAGCCGCCGGCCGTACCCGAAACCACGGGCAGTAACCCGCGCACGACCAGGGCCTTCATCCCGCGCAGAAGAAGAAATCGCGGCAAGCAGAAGGACACTAGTTATCCGTAGCGCGCATGCATGTGTGTGCATGCAACGCTGCTCTCCAGACTTTGCCGTGTCTGGGCTCCTGGAGTCCGGGACACAAGCCTAGACTTGCACTGCGGGCGAGGCAGCTGCAGCTTGACTAAGGTAAGATAGACTCAATTCTCTGTTCCGGCGCTGGACCTGCAGAGGAACACCACTGACGGAACCCGTCTGTTGGATTCGACTATGACTATGCATGTGCCTCAACTGTTGAGCGTCGGGGGGGGGGGGGGGGGCTGCTGTGTATTGTTGGCCGTCATGACCGTCAAGGACTCAGACGCATTGCAGACATTGTCCCCCAATAATAATCACTCGCTGCATCATGAAATAGGCACAAAAATATACTTTAACTGATTTGTATTCATTCTCGCGGGCCCCATGCTCTGAGCCGAGGCGCAGCTCTCACCGCTACTCAGCCCAAGATGATGCTCCACTGCTCGCGTTCGTTGCCTCGCAACAGTCTTATCTTGCTAACCTGTAGCCACGCCGTCCCGCAACGGGGTACAGTACGTGTATGATGCCTCCGCTGCACAAATCCCCCTGGTTGACATTTATCCACTCATGCAAAATAACAAGTCAGCTCTCGACGTTCGAGTCGGAGAGTCTCTGGTGATAATGCCCCAAAACCATCTAGATGCGAACCATGACGCTATCGCAGGCCGTTGCGATCAATGCAATAACAATTAAAACGAAGGCGGTGCCGTAGAAATGCGGATTTCTGTTTTGGCTCCCGTGATTTCCATGCTGGTTGCTGTCCTCTCTTTGGACATGAAGCCGTTCTAGTGACCCAGCGGAACATGCAACGCTGATAAAAACAAACGCCAGTGTACCCAATGCCACACAGAGGAGGGTATCGAGGTGAGGAAGGGAGGCGAGAAAGTCGACACAGGTATCCATGCTGGATAAACAGAGTCGACGTGAAAGGGGTATGAAATTCAAGCGCTCGCAAAGGGTATCGCGGTGATGGCGATCTATATCAAAGAAGATGGAGAGCTGAAAGAGGGCGCGCTTAGTGCTTCTTGTCGGAGCTGGCAGAGTGCTGCTTCGAGGAGTGGTGATGATGCTTGTGAGAAGAGTGGTGTTTGCGGACCTTGAAAAAGTCAGTGGCGGTCGCGAGCAGGCTTTAAGAGGCATTGTGGCTTACCCGTTGGCGACCGCGGTGCTCCTCCTCGTCCGAGGAACCGTTGCTCAGACGTCTCCTCTCCTCCTCATACCAGGTGCTCAAAGACTTGCCGCCAAACATGAGATCGTCATCTTCGATGATGGTGGCCTGGATCCAGCCTTGTGAAGCGAGGTCAAATTCTCTAGCGTTGGGATCCATGGCGCTGGCGTTGGGAACAACATAGTAATATTGGTCTTGTGCTGGTGACATTTTGTATGTGTCTGCTAGTGGCGGCTAGTTGTGGACTGGAAGGCGGGTAGGAATGCAAGATGGGATGGAATGCGCGGGTCCTTTATGGTTGTGTTTTGTGTAGACGTGAGATAAATGACGCGTGATGCTGGTTTTCGCGTAGATGAGTTGCTTGGCTGATGGTGTTTTGAAAAAGCCGGGGTGATCGCAGCTGGAGTTATTTAAGCCTCCAAGACAGGGACCCTTGAGTTATAGCTGGGACGGGGTGGCAGAGAGCAGGGAAGTCTGGACTCTGGAATTCGGAATGACGGGAGGGTGTGCTGGAAATATCGACGAAAGCGACAAAGAATCCAGGCGGGCGGGCGTTCGGATATCCAAGGGTCCAGTAAAAGAATTTACTGGCAGAGTAGGAAATGTTCGTTTTCCTTTGTTCGGTTGCCGATGAGAATAAGGCAGGGCGAGACAGCACTAGACGGTGTGGGCTGGATCGAGTAGAGGGCGGATCGGAGGAGCGGTAGTGAGTAGAGGCGTATGTGTGTAGACTTGTATGAGGCGGCGGAGGAGGAGGCTTATTGTGAGATCGTCGAGGCCCTTTGAAATTTCGGTCACTGCGGTGTGGCGGGATGTCAGAGTCGCGGAATAGAATAGAAAGAAAATCGGGAGGAGGCCGTCACGATGGATGCGGGTGAAGGCTGGGTTATTATGGATTATGGGATTGTGGGCTGCAAGGCAGCAAGTGCGAGGGTGCGGTCCTTTCCCCGTATTATTTCAGGTTGGCCTCGCGTGGCGGGAAGGAGCACCGTAGGTACCGAACCCGCTGTGTGTGGGTGTGGGAAGGAAGGGGGAAGGAGACGGAGTGACATGTGTGAACTTGTGAGAAGGAGGGAAGGAGGGGGCAGGGGTGGACTTCCCGGTCTGTGCAGAGTGGGAAGGAAGTGGGCGACCCCCTTCCCAGTGGAGACCGAGTAAGGTAAGGTAGGGCAACCGCGGGCAGGGGTGGAGAGAACAGGCGAGGGCGCAAGGGGGTGGGGGTGGGGGGAACGGAAAACGGAGAGCGAAACGGTGCGACGGCCTTTCGTTGATGACTTCCAAGTCCGTTTTAATGGGTACACGCACCTAACAAATGGAAGTAAGTAACTCACCCACACCTCACCGAAGTGGAAGCAAGGTAGAGGCCAGAGAGAGCCTAACGCGAAAGTCCAGGGGAGCTGGACACACATCGGGTCGAGTTCAGCCCAGCTGCCCAGGTCAGGACCAAAGGGACTGTGCAGCTTCAGTGCCAGCTGCTGTGTGTTGGCACTGGTAGGTAGGTCCTACGTGGTCGGCTGGCTTCACCTCTCAGCTGAAGACGCGTCTTCTCGGTGACTCTTGTCTCAAATCTTGTTCCTTCTGCCCAGCAAGTCGGAATGGCGGAGGCAGGGGGGTCGCATTCAATAGTCAATAGTCGGAGGGCAGGCTGACTGAGAGAGTCTGAGGTGAGGTGAGGTGCGTGAGCCTGATATTGGATTGGGTACGGTGTACGGAGTGCAGAGTATTGGTCCATTTGATGCACGAGTGCCACACTGCGGTGGTTTGCTGATGCCGAGACGATGGTATTGGTGCTGATGGCGAGGCCGATACCGAGTATTGAGACTGCTGATGCGGCCTAGTTTCGGCTCAGCAGGCCGCGAAGTGTCGGGTCTGAGTTTTGTGGGTGAAGGACTTGTTGGACCTGAAGATTCCCGTCAGAAGAAAAGAGTCAGAGTCGGAGGAATCAGACTGGTGGTGCCCGATGTTGATGGTGTTGGTGCGGGGGGTTCCGGAAGTGGAAGCGTAGGTACTTTCATGATACCACCGGCTTCGGTGGTGATGATTCAACTACCTTATTGCTGGACTCCTTCGCTCCGTCCAAGTCGGCGACGTGGCTGTAACTCTAGCCCGTTGCAAGCTTTGCTCCGTGAGATGGCTTGGGGTAATCTGGACTGCCGACGTGTCGGTGTCCGGAATGAAGGCTACCATAGGAGCTTAGATGGACCATCGGAGAGGTCTGGACTCTTGGGGTATTTGCAACCTCAAAATGTGCAGCCTACTTCTGGATGGCCTGGGCGGCCTAGATGGCCTGGATCGTGGACCACGACGATGCGATTGGGGGAGAGGGTTTGAAAGTCTACACTGTCCGTAGGTACTACGGTGTTTATTTGCCCGGCAGCTGAACACTTTGGAATATCCGTGAATGGCGTTGGCCGTGCATGAGATACAGATACATCTGGAGACATTGGGCAGCTGAGGCATATTGCCGAGAGAATACACGAAAGACAGCGCTAAGTCGGTGCAGGTCGTGATTTTACCTATAGATCTGAGATTGGTATATCTGTATCGATCGAATGTCTGGCTAATCCCATCACTCCCTGCACTTTGGTGTTTCTTCTTTCTGCCGAGGGCCCCGGGGATCCGTTTGAAACGGAAGAATAAAGGACAAGGCAAAGGGCGGGTATCCGTAGAGCAAGATATACCAAGGTACTGCGTAAGGTAGTAGTATCATGGATGATGATGGCGAAAAGGCGGAGTAGCTAGGTACCTACAGGAGCTGACCTTTGCGAATTCAAGATTATCTGTAATCTTGTGTCATTCCCGGCCTTCTTATCCGTGCCTTATCTGGCGGCTATCATAAAATAGGACCGCAGCACGACCGGGCGGTATTAGATCGAGCTGACGAAAGGCGAAGATAAAATGACAGAATAACAGCGACAAGCACATCCTGATGGGAGTCGATTGCCGGACTACGTACTTGGTATTCAACCATTGAGCCATGAATGAGTCCATGACACGGCCGAGGATTGCAGCGATGATACAGCACTCAAAACCTGGGACCGGCGGCGAGTAATGACGCGGATAACAGTTCACTGTAAGCCCTGGGCAAGTATCCGTACACGCCGAGAACGGAATACGTCCGTTCCTGTCAGCACCAGGGCGGCCGTCCGTGGCTGAAGGCCAAAGTACCTTTACACTGCCATGATCTGCAGATGTACATGTCGACCCTCTCACCTCTTACACGGAGGGGAAACCTTGGGGTGCATGGCCACCAGGCAAGACAGGGCTCCGGGGGAGGGCACTGGCACATTGCGGGCTGCAGGTTACCTCCTCAGGCGGGAGTCAGGCACCCTAGAAGGCAGGTCGCGGCGTCGCTTCGGCCATGGCAGGCAGAAAAGGCAGAAGACTAACCAGGCCCTTCAACACGATCCCATCTCTTGTCTTTTCTGCTGAGGGGATTTTTGAGAAACAAGATGGGGAAAAGGAAGACACGGCGCCTCGGGCGGACCAGGCGTGGATTTCTCGGGTCGGCCGTCTTCCGTTGAGATAACGAAGCGAAACGGACTTTGAGGCCAGGCACGGGTGACCATGACCGAGGCAAGACGGTTCGTAACTACCTAAATTCGGATACGGCGTTCAGGACTGGACGAGATACGGATGATAGGTACGGAGTACGCAGGTACTTTGCTTTACGAGACCGGCTGACGGCGAATGGAAGGTGACCTGCCGCGAGGAGTGAGAACTCGCTGAGGATGGAAGGCAGCGGGGGGTTCGATACTTACCTTACTCTACAAGGCATGGAGCGACGGATACGTACTCGACGTACCTGCCTTTACCTTCTTCTTGTTTTGCACTTGCGGTCCCCTAATTTGCAGGGCTGCACCACCAGGGCACCTCGGTTCCACCAATGTCTCCATCCAAAAGATGGGGGGCTCCTTCCACTTTTGACCCTGACACACCGACCGTCAGTCTGTCGCCCACCGTCCCAATCTACCGTCTACGCCATCTACACCGTCTTTCATCTCACCGAGTGAGGTGAGCGTCTCTCCTTCAAGTTTCTCGTCCAAAGGCTCCAACTTTGTGCATTTGTCTCGCCTGCCAGATTATCTCCGTCTTCAGCCCGCCAATGACACGCCAACCTGCTGCATTTCTCCAGTCACTGGCTCCCGCTGTCTGTTTCGTCGAGAATAAGGTCTTTGCTTTTCAACCAAACGCACGCTCGAACCTCGCAGGTTATTGTTTTTTTATTTGGCTAATCGACGCCTCTACCCGTAAAGAGTATTCCCGCCCGTCGTCGCCTTTGTTGATCGTCTGCCTCGTAAGTATTCCCGTGGCCCCTGGTGTGTCAAGAGTCAAGATACCAAAGGGCCGCTGCAGATCATGTCAAGCTTCAGATCTTGGCTCTGATCCCTTTGCAGATACCTAAAAGTGCCAGAGTACATCGGTACCACACCCGCAGCGTTGTTGAGCCTCGAATACCTGACTCGGAAAATGATGTGCGCCAGCCAAGCATGTGTATCGCCTCTTGGATCCTATGGCGGAACCTGGCCGACAAACACGTCATATCAAAGATGGAAGAGACGCGCGAGACTGACACGAAGAAACACTCGATACGACATCGCCATCAGCTCGTCCGCTAGAGAACCTCACGAAGTACTGGTATAGCCAGACATTGTACAAACACGCTGGGGCTCCTTTGCTCGTCCTGCTTGCGTGTCCATCTCGCACTCTGAAGCATTAGACCGACAACCTTGATAAAAGGGTCCGAATCTCGAGACAGGGCAGCGTCGACGACGGTGACAAGGCTCCGTCAAAGGGACTGATACGGTGATGGATGGACGGCACATCCTTCTCTTGGCTTGGCCCCTCTGCCCCTTGGTCTGTGGCCTCTATCGTTTCCTCCTCCTGGATCTTGGCAGGCTGTGCCAAAGGACCAACCCTGCAATCAAATACGGACGCTACCCGTTCTGCCCTGAAGGCCCGTCCGGATATTGCTGAATGCAATGGGGACCTCGGATGCTGAACCACGGTTACACTGTCCACAGCCTTTTTAACTGGGCACCCGTCAGTGTCATCCTTGAATCTGGATATCAAAAAAAGAACGAGCTGCCGATTGTCATCTCGCCATCTGGGGCATCTGGAGCATCTGGGGGCATACGCGCATCGGTATGCGACGTGCAATTTTATCGGTTCATCGCCAGCGATCAACTCATTTAACCCCCAGAATATCATCACGCCAGACTGATGCATCGCCCCATGCCCCGTACCCAAAATCTGCTTCTGGACAGACTTGCTCGAGACTGAAGGACCTGACAGCGGATACACTCTCCGTTACAGTTTTCCGTTGGCCTTCTCAGAGTTCTACGTACCGTATCCGAAGACAGGATTACCTAGATGCCTAAGCCCAAGTGTGCAGGATTAGTCCCAACATGAATCTTTACGGTTCAAACCAAACACGCACACACCGTATCCGTAGTGTACAGCATGTCGTCTCAAGTCACCGAATTCCACGCGACAATGGAGATACGTACACCGACCGACTCGGGCATAGCCGAAAGAGCACCGACTCATTCACGCACATTGCGACCATCCCGTATGAAACGGCCTGAATCAGTTCTCGCGGGATCTACTGGCCTTCTTCGACTCAGCTCGAGTCCTCGTAGCGGTCACGGCAGCGTCGCGCATGCCATCCAACCGCATGGGGAAAGCCTATTGAGGCTACATTTTGCACCAAGAGTCGAAGAAGAAGAAGAATGTTTTCCCGCACTCGATGCACATCCTCATCCTCGGACCAAGTCCGGCAACGGCAATACTTTGGCGTTTCTTGGGACCAGCTCGCCGGAGCAAGGCACGGCGTTTCGAGGAAGGACTTGATTGACCAACTGCAACTGTATCTCGTCTTGTACCCGGAGTATCGCTTGGCACGCTGCAGAAAACCTAGAATCTCTCACAGAAGAACTCTGATCGTCGCGCATGCCGTATAGACACACGCATCCACACTTTCGTAAACCGGGCGCTTCAAGTAGGTATACCGGCAAAAGTGTCGGCTCCTTTCTTTTGAAGTTACGGGCCGCGCCAGACGCACGGAAAACGGTCGGTGAGGCCCGCCACAAGGAGATGGCCGCCGGGCAGAGAGCCACATGTCAAAAAAGGTGTCAAGAGATGGAAGATCTCGATTGCGGCTTATCGCGGGGATGGGGGGTTAAGTCACCAGCTGCGATCTCGTTCAACCAATCCTCGGTGAAGAGGCGGGGATCAAGGTTGGTTTCCAGAGCCATGAGGCAGCAGTCACGAGGACCCAGAGCCTTGCCGCAAGTTGCAACGCATATATCTATTCAGTGCTCTATAGACGATTGCCGTGAAGAGTGAGTGATTGGGTTCGAGTGCCGGCCAACGGCGGGCATCCTTTGTCCAGTTGTGGCATGCCGCATGACGGGCGCCTTGCCGGCCGGCAAAGGCCATGTGACCGGTTCGCTCTCTGGTAGGTACCGGCGCCGGACCAATATGGGTATTCCTGAAGGTTTGGATGTTTGATGCACACTTCACCCAGACAAACAGAAACATCATTGGTGATGTTATGTTTTATGCACGATACCCGCAGACGGCGCGGCGGCGACACACTACAGTCGATTCTACCGTACACGTTTTCAAACGGCGGGATGTAGTATACAAAGGGATTTTGCGGTACTTGGCGAGGTGTGAAGATAGGTATCGCCCTCGGGGTATTTTTCGCGTGTGTTGGCTGCGGCGAACGGCGATCGTACATTACTTCGGGGGAAACGTCTCCGCAGCTTTCTCACCAAGAGATCTACATACGGCCGAGGAAACACGAAAGAAGAAGCGTGGGCGGCTCCGCTCACGGGTCCATCTGTTGCAAGTTGCAGGCTTGTAGCGCACATCATTGACCAAAAAGGCTTAAAGGTACAGAGGACCGGGTCGCGGCGGCGAAACATGTGCAAAAGAAGAAAGAAAAAAAGGCATTCTTTTGACAAAGATGGCAAATTTTTTGCCTTCCGTCATGATAGTGCTATCTTGCATCGGCGGAGAAGCTCCGGGTTGGGGGCGAATGAGGTTGCGACGAGCTGAAATGCGCGAGTCGTCGCAAGTTTTGGTGATGGAGTCAATCAACGTTTTAGTTACTGCGTTAGTTACTGCGTATGGAGGTGTGGATGGTGTTCATGCCCCTCGTCTTTTGGGTCCGATGCAATACGGTTGAACCACATGGTGACAGAACACACTCAGCCCCCCAAAGGTTCCGATACCGCACGCACACCGCACCGGACCGTCGAACTTGATGGTTGTGTGGATGTCAAGCAGACCGAACTGTGGGAAAACGGAATCATCAGATCAGCCAAACCGACGGAGAGTGAGAGTTAGATTCATGGGGTGGTTGTTCCACAAGGCACAAAGACGGTGAGCATAACAGACAGGTTTCGCCACGGGATGGAGTCATGGTATCGTGGAAATCGTGACAAGAGGTTTTCCATGTCGTTCATCAACTGAGACGCGGCGCGTGGTCCGGCGTCGTGGCGATGACGTCAAGGTTCGATGGAGGGGCAGAAGGGGGGGGGGGCGGGGGTTCATCCTCTTCTTCTTCTTTTTCTTCTTCTTCGTCTTCGTCTTCTTCGAGTTATCCTTGCCGGCTGCTTGGGTTTCCTGCTCGGGAGGGACCAACCCCGCGCATACTGTCACTATTACACCACAGATGCACTACTTTACTCACTTTTGTACGCACAAATGCTGTGCCCATTGACTAGCAAAAGGGTACTCCGTAAAGTAGTTGTGTCTTGCTTGGAGCGGCGGCGAGAGGGGCAACAGGAGCCAGTGACAACATCGTGTCCGCTTCGGAAGCGACGTTTCCAGGGAATTTAAACTCTTTGGCAGCTCCATCCGCGCGGGAACCCTGGGAAAGGAAAAAAGAGGCTTCGCGGCGTGGCGTGGCGTAGCGTGGCAGGCAATGACATCAGCGAGGAAAAAAGATTTCAACACCAAACTGATTCGTGGCGGAGGGACTTACATAGATGCCTGCGAGAATCCTTACCTTGCAAGTTGCCTTGCCTGGCCCAGTGACGGTGACAGAGCACTGGAGCCGTGTCAGTCGAATGCAGCGGGATGCAAAGAACCCGGAATCCTGGGAGAGTTTAAACGGTTTCTCAGGAGTCAAGGGGGGCCATTGGGCCGTGGGTTGTTGGTGATTACACACATACAGAGAAAGGATAAAAAAGACAAAATGACAAAAGGTAAAAAGCTAGAATGAGCCCTACGACGAAGTTACGTCGCCCCGGGTCGGGCCCCCCCCCCCCCCGCACCCTAACGCAAATCACTTTAAAATCAAGGCACCTCGTTTAGAGGGGGAGGGAAAAGGCTCTTTCTGGGAGTTTGCCATGTGGCTGGTCGCCTGGCCGCTGGACTCAAACTGCTTGCAGAAGACTTCCGTGCCTGACTGACCCTGACGTGGGTGACGTTCACCTATGCTAAGGTAGCTAACCCCCACCACGTCACTGGCGATGATCTTCAAGGGTTGCTGAATCGTATCGTGCAGCGAGGTGACTACGCTTTCCGCGGGAGTATGTAGAAGATTTGCCATGCCTGTCTATTTCGGATTGGATAGTATGGTAAGCCCGGGGCGGTGTATCACAGTTTGAGAGTTCTTCTAAGCTGCGTCTCGTGATGGTGAGGCGGTGCTGCTTGGTGCTGATGCGGATGCTGATCAGGGAAGAGTCTATCGTAAAACCAATCAGTCTCGTGTTGATTGGCGCTTTTCTCATACCTTATTCTACCGTGTAAGAATTCTCGGATTTCAAGTCACACCCTGCAGATCTTGGGATTACCCGAGGGATCGTAAACGGTATCAAAGCAAAAGAATCAATGGCTGCGAAAACGGATGGCCGAAGGACACCGGGTAATGCTGTTATCCCCCCTCGGACCCCCTCCGCCTTGGATTATGCGTTCTTGCCGGGCTTTTTTGGCTTGCCTTAACTCGCGACAGGGGAAATGGGTGAACCGTGCTGTGCTGTATTGTCCTGCTGTCGATGCCGAGGCCGTCTGCCGCCTGCCCTGAATATGATTGAAACGCCAGAAACTCTTCCGTGGGGACAAAAATCGTGTACCTGGACATACTTGCGACACGGCTCGCGCATATTGGAATACGGACCGCGGTGCGCCGCAAAACGGTCTGGCGGGGTCGAGGCCCGTAAAAGCAGTGAGGTCATTGCGGGATGTAGGATGCAAATGACAAGACGGCAGGTGGTGCCCAGGGGGAGGGGGGAAACAAGAAGGCCGCGGTCTTTTTTCTTCAATCTGGTTTCTACGGGTTGATTCGGGTAGTTCGGCCGGGAGAGTTCATGCAACTTCTGAGAAAACGTCAACGATTAGAAGGCCTCTCGACCATCGATCGTGCGGATCGGACGGGATCGTGGACGGACTTGGGAGGGGCCAGTCGGGAGAATAAATGGGGCTTACGGGACTGCCGGTGCCGTCCGGGATGGGCGGAGTGGTTTCCTGAATTTGCTTCGGGCTTTTGTCTTTTTTTCTCTTGCGGCCATCTCCTGGCAATCCTCGTCGGACTTGTGAGTGAGTATATTCGTATTCTTGAGACATACTGGCTATCTACCCCCCTAGACATATCCTTCTCATCACGGATCTGAATATTTTAAAAGGGGGAATATCCGGCAGTGTGCTCAGACACGCTTCTGCCACCAAGAGGTCTTGTCGCCGTTTCGGATCCGAAGGAGGAGTATTCAGCCGCGCTTCAAATTTCCCATGATGACAGAACATATGCTAAAAAAAAAGAAGAAAAACGAAAAGACGGATGGAAGCTTGCGAGGCTTGGGCATGCGTGGGTACGTGTGTGCAGCTCGCTTGGCCTCGCCTACACCTTCTAGTTCTGCTTGGGGAGGCCGACAGCCTGCGATGTTAGGGCTCGAAACTTGCTCAGGGTTATGTAGCCTTTGGGATACTAGACGATGGGTAATTTCCAGCTTGAAGGGGTCTAGCACAGATGAGTTTCCTTCATGGGGTACGAGAAGCAGAGTTGTCACAGCGGTTCGCAATGTGAATTGAAGCTGGTGCGTGATGAAGTTATACGGGATTTTATAGCATCACAACCGCGAGAGGACTTTGGGGCCATGATACACCTCACATCATGATAAAGTAGCAATGACTAATGTAGATAGTCCATCCCTTTGGTAATCGATAGCTTGCTTGAATATAGTGCTCGCTTCAACGGTGTACATGAAATGCCCCAAACGCCTTGCCCATTTAACCTGGCTCGCAATGTTCTTCCGCCACGCAAATACAACTACAGCACAGATAGGGAAAAAGTAATCGGGAGAACTCCAGACTGCTGTGGGAATCAATCCGACAACGCCTTTACTCCTTCTTCTCCTTCTTCTTGCCCTCA